AATTTCTCACCACTCATCATAGCCCTAAAACCAAGAATATCAACATAAACAGAACAGGATAAAACCCAAGACTATCAACACAAACAGAACAGGATGCCAAACCTTTCCCACTGACGGAGAGTTGTCTAACACCTGCGACATGCTTCCTACTCCCTCAAAGAGGTCATACGATGGTGAGCACAGATTCAGCAACAAAGAGGTATGAATTAAGCATGAGAAACCCATCATATCGCTGGGCAGTGGTGGTGCACAACTTTAGTCTCAGCATTTGGTAGGCAGAAGCAGGCGGATATCTGAGTTCACGGCCAGCTTGGTCTACAGAGGGAGTGCCAGGACGATACACAGGACTGTCTCAAAACCAAAAACACAAAGAAAGAAAAGAAGCCCATCACGCAGCATGTTCAGCCCATCGTATTTCTTGCGCCAGTCTATCTGCGAAGCAAAGAAACACATTTCTCTATATGTCTATGACTAGCGATGTCTTTATGCTGCTTTTGAAACTCATCCATTAGCATTGCTGGATGTAGCTTAAACACCCCCCTTTCTTCTATACAAATTAGATGAACATTCTACCGTTCCTTTCTCCAAACCTTAGTTTCACCCCAAGGTAAATTCCATCTCCCAGGCTCCCAGCACTCGCAATTAGAATCCTCACCTGAGACTCATATCGCATCCCAAGAGTAACCCAGTTTGAAGAGAATCAATGGATGTACCTTTGCCCATTCTGATGAAGTCATGCACAGGATGATAACATTGAGAATAAATTGAACAAAACTGAGATTGGCGCATTTGTTTATTTCTAGTAGGACATGGCTGAAAAAAAAAACAACTTAATGGCATTGCCTATTCTAAAAAATACACTTGAGGTTGATTTGAAAAACAAAAACAACAAAACAAAAAAAATACAGAAAAATTAGTAAGACAAGATGATGCGAAGGTCCTCCAGTCCTTTCCCTGGATTTCAGCAGAAACACCTCCAGCTTCAGAGATAAGAGCACAAGCGAAGGCTGTGCTCAGCTACATAATGTACTGGGCAGCTCCAAAGAATCAAAAGGACTCCTCCAACTCCAGTCAGTCCGTTCCTTACAAAGGGAAATGGTTTTTCTTGTAACAAATAACACATTTAGGACTTGATGTTTTTCAGAGAACAATAAGGAAGGCTGTAGCCACACACACACACACACACACACACACACACACACACACACAATTATTTTTCTGCTTTGAATTACAGTTTAACAGGAGTACAACCAAATGCAAATGAGATGTATGCATATTTATGATTTTACTGGCTGGGTGACAGGGCCACCTTTAGTGGCTGCCTTTATTTACCAGCACAAAACCATCCTGCATTTGTTTCTATTCAAACAAATCCCTTTCTTCAAGCCCTGGATGGAACAAAGTATTAATTATGAATCTGCCAGTGTATCTTAGTCATGAAAATGGTAGCATATGGATGAGAATGGACATTTATTTAGACAATAATACTTAAAAAGCAAACAGAAAACCACTTTAAAATATGCCTGCTCCATAAATTATCGGCAAACAAGTTTTCTGAAAATCTCTCAGGTTTCTAAAATCCAAAACTGCACCCTCACAACTTTGAAAGTAAGCCTCCCTAACAATGCTGCAGGAGCTCTGGCCTTGGCCCAGCACCCACGTGACCACGAGCCAGTCAGTTTCTTTCCTAACTCTTCAGCTGTCGAACCTGTAAATAAATGGTCTATCTCCAAACAAGTTAATGCTGCTATCCCAACCCCTAATAAACAGCAGGGTCTATGAGCAGTATTTCAGATCCACTGTGGAAAGAGAACAGTAACTAGGTTGGTTTCACTAATTAGGTTCCTCCTGCAAAACCACGGAGCCGGAGCCAGTGTTAGTTGTTACTGGAAAGCACCTCAGCAACCTTGAGTAAAAAGGAGACAAGTCCGCTCATAAAAGGACACAAGTCAGTTTCTGGGGATGGACCCTGTAGCCAGCTACTCGTTACTCACAAGAGGCGGACGGGCATGAGAAAGCGAGCATCATACAGACGGCATGAGACTAGGAAAACCTGCTTCATGAGATGAACTCAGGAGACGACGCGGGTGATCACCAATGGGCTCCCGAGAAGGCACAACTCTCTTCTCACAGGAAAACTACCTTCCGTGCTGGGAATTTACATGCGAGGTTCTGTATGTCTTACAGCATGCTTTCCCTATGAATGATCTCATTCCTTTCTATTAACCGAACAGCCGTGGGGGGAGGTGGATATTTACTATATGCAAACTGCAAAACTTTAAAAAAAAAAAATGACTTGGCGGTGGGGGCGCACGCCTTTAATCCCAGCACGAGGGACTCAGAGGCAGGTGGATCTCTGAGTTTGAAGCCAGCCTGGTCTACAGAGCGAATTCCAGGACAGCCAGGGCTACACAGGGAAACCCTGTCTCAAGAAAACCTATTAATTAAATGAATAAATCAATAAATGTGCACATATACTGTTGAAGTACTGACCCAACTTGTACCTGAGAGTACTTCACCCTGAGTACTTTAACGTCAAACAGAAGCACTAAACAACTTAGGTGGGAAATTAAACACACTTGCAGTTTTCTTTCCCTCCAACAAGTGGTCCACAGTCCAAGTCAGAAAAAGTAAACTGAAGCCCGGCGGTGGTGGCTCACGCCTTTAATCCCAGCACTCAGGAGGCAGAGGCAGGCGGATCTCTGTGAGTTCAAGACCAGACTGGTCTACAAGAGCTAGTTCCAGGACAGGCTCCAAAACCACAGAGAAACCCTGTCTCGGAAAAAAAAAAAAAAAATAGAAAAAGAAAAAGTAAACTGAAGCTGGCATCCATGATCAACTAAACCGCTTGGCTGACTCAGAGTAGACATTTTTCTACTCCTAAACTTGAGAAGAAAAGGACCCAAAAGAAATAATACCGCCTTGCTAGGCACCACAGAATGCTAAAGCTGGCAAAAGAAACAGAATCCCATAGGCACCTCGTTGTGTATGGGAAAGATTTTAGGCTTGGAGGTGGTAAGTCCGGCACACAAGAGCTGTGTTGGAGTTAGAGCCCAGGTCACCAAACAGCACTCTGAACAGCATGACCTCATCCTGATCAGAAGTGGGACAATGACAGAAAACACAAAAGCACCAAGCTGCCAGGAGATTAGATGAACTCTCTGGTCAGAAGCTCCAGGCAGAGAGGAGAAGCGACGCACAACTCCCAAGGTTGTCTGACCCTGAGTTTCCTCACGTCTGCAACACCTGAGGGGCAAGTCACAAAGAGACAATACTGGCCACCAGGAAGGGAAGACAAGTCTGGTCATTAAAAACAAAACAAAACAAACAAACAAAAAACCACCAAAACTTCATGTACAGAGCTGGCTCTGATTTAGGAACAGCAAACCTGGCTGGGACTCTAAGAACCACTTGTCACTGTGATAAGTCCCAAGAATCCTAGTGTCCCGGGCCTCCTGCAAATGTGTGATTATCATCTTTATCTCGTCCCCCTCAGACACGATTGAGAATCAATGAGAATACTGTAAAGTATTTAAAAACTGCAAAACGCTAATGCAACTATTAGGTGGCGTTCAGTCCCTCCAGTTTTCTTAGTTTGGATGTAATGTGTCTGGATCTGTGAGTGCCAGACAGATTTCCTTCCCAAGACGAACATCACATATCAAGAGCTGACTGCCTGCCCTTCCCATCCGTCCTCAGGGGTCGCCACCTTTGCTCTCATAACCAGCATTTCCTTCAGCTCAGAGATCATAGGTGACACTTAAGGTTCAGTCCTGAACTTGGTTGGGCAAGATTTTTTCCAGGGGTTCCTTTCAGCTGGTAGCCCTCTAACAAAAGCTTCCAAGAACCCCCATTTATTTTATCACAGTGGAGTCGAAGGAAAACCAATCCTTGGACTTTGATCCACTTCAACAACTGCAAAAGCACTACAGCCTCTCCAGAGAACAAGAGGGGAGTCGCCCGGAAGAGGGACAAAAGGGTCCCTCCGAGCCTAAGTTCAAGAGAAAGGAGTTGGATCACTCCTTAGGTCAGATTAACACATTCTCGGTCCTTGGGGACCATTCATTTTACAGCGGGGACCTCTAACTAGCTGAGAATGTCATCTAGGGCCAGCGTCAGGGGTGTTACTCAGGGGCCAGAGCTTTAAATGGCACCACACTAAATAGCAGATCCCTGTTCGAAGCCCTGATTTCAGTAGGCACAAAGAAAAAAAAATTCACTGACCTACCCAAACAACTTCTCCGGAACAGGTTTCTACCCAAGCATGCTGTGCAAGGCAGACAGCCGACTTGGGCGGTGGGGGTAAGCGAGGAGAGAACGCTCATCTGCATAGATGAGAGATAAGCAGTTTGTTGTCTTGGGTGCTGACGACTCCTGGCACCAGAGCGGCAAATCCAACTCCAGCACTCTCCCACCCTACAGCCCCATACTCCCAGACCCCTGCTCCAGATGTTGAAGCTTCACGTTGCCTGGGCCAGTGGAGGGAGGGGCCCCATAAAAGTCCCTGGCTGTTTTTAGGCTGGAACCGTACTACCTCACCTGTTTTTCCACCCAGCGCCAAAGCCAGAAATCACCAGAATACTGACTCACGCAAGCCCCTGTAGACATCCCAGGGGCGCCTAACAAGTTCGCGGCTGTTTAGTAGCAGGGGAGAAAGACGGGGACACCTCTCCCACTGCAGCCAAACTCAGCAGACTGCCCTGAAACGAGGGTGGGGGCTCAGGCTTAAGTGAGCCACAGTGATCGGCGGGTGTCACTGCCACCCCAGGGATCGGGGCAGGGAACCGGTGGGTGCTCACCGGGAATGCGCAGCTGAGGCCCCCCGAGGTACTAAGGTCCTCGTTCGGGAACCACGGGCGCCCCCTCCATGTCACCCCCAGCACAACTCAGACAGTCAAAGTGGCAGGGTGGAGAGGTCAGGTCTCAGCAGAGACACAGCCCCAGGCGCGGCGGCAAGGGAGGGTGTAGGCAGGGTTGCCGAGGACGCGCAGGAAACTTACCTCCCCCGGCCGGCGTGCTGGAGCCTCAGCGACCGAGACCAGTTGCGCCACGGCGAGCAAGTTGTCGGGATGTCGCGGGTTCCTGGGTGGCTGCTGCGGGCAGCGGGTGGGGCGGGGCCGGGGCAGCGCCGGAGGCGGGCAGGTGCCGGGCCCTGCCGCGGGGCCACACTCGGCTCGGACACGCGGTGACGGGGACGCGCGGCTGCGAGTGTGCAATGCGCGCGCGCCGCGGCCGGTGTGCGTGTCCCCGCGTTCCCCTTCCTTCCCGCCGCTCCTCTCGCCCGCAGAGTGGCAAGCGGACCACAAGGACCCGGCAGCCGGGGGTAGCAAGGCGAGGCAAGATCCGAGGTGGAGGCCGAGGAGTGGCAGCACCCGCCGGCCTCAGGTCCCCGCACGGCGCGCCGGAGTCCGAGCGAGGCGGGCGGCGAGCAGGCTGCGCGGCGGCAGCGACTCCGGGAGGCTGCAGGCCCCGCCCGCCGGCCGCCTAGGCTCTTCCCCTTTTCTCTCCACCCACCGCTCCATCCCGCACGCCCTGCAGGGAAGCCAGACCGGTTTGCAGCAGCGGCGGGGCCCGCAGTCGGAACAAGTGCCGGAGTCGGTGCGTGGGGACTATGCACCCTGTGCCGCTGCCCGCAGCCTGGACGGGGGTTGGGAGTGGGGGGCAAGGTGAAGCGGCTCCCTGGAATTAGCAGGAATCTCCGAAGCTTCAGGGCTTCTTGGTGCTTCTCGCAGTCTTGAAGCCCCACGGAGGAGCTCCGTATTGGGGTAGAGCCTGTCCCTGCCCCAAGCCACTGAACCAGGTTATGCCTGACTTGACTCCTCTTCCTTCGAGAACTAGCACTTAAGTACAGGCTCCCTCTTCCACGAGGAAGGGACAGGCAAAGGTTGAGACCACAGCTGTCCCACTTCTAAGGATAGCAGGTGTTTTAAGGAAGGTAGATCTATCCAACAGGTAGGGATAGGTTAGTGAGGGGTCCCGCGCAAATGCGCAGCAATGGGGCGCACCTGCTGGAGCTTCTTGGAATCTCACCTAAGTTAGTATAACTGCAAAGAGGATGAAGACCAGACCTAAATATGTTTGTCGTTATTCTGTCCTGGACACTAATATTAAATTTATCAAATAGGCACGGGAAGGTAGCGACTCCTTCCAGTTGGGTCGAAGCAATTGGAGTTTTTCAGCTTCATCACTTCCTTCCACTTTTCCCTTCTCAAACAGTTGTGGGAAACAGAGCTCACGTTCTGTGCTGTGGAGGACAGCATTTGATGATCCTTGCTTGGGCGGGGGTGGGGGGGGTGGGACACTCCCTTGAGATTCTGCAAAAAACACTGTCTGCAGTTTTGAAACCTTTTCCCACCACCCCCACCAACTCCAGTGATTTTTGTCGTGGTTTGATATCAGCCTGGGATGGAGAACAATAAATCCGTTGTAACAAAAATTGATTCAAGGTTTTATTGAAGTGAAACGGACAAATCAAATAGATGTGAATTGTTCTTTGGCTATATTCCCGGTGTATTTCTTCCAGGTGCGTCTGGCTACTACTGGAGATTCAGGGCACCATTGACTCAGAACCCCTCTGCTTGGGTCCTGGCATCCTGAACTTATTAAAGTACAGAGTAAGAGCATGTGTAGTCCAGCTTGCACGCTTTTCAGATGAGAAAATCATGGCTCAAAGACATCCAGTAACACAGACCAGAACACAATTTTCCTTACTCTTTAGTCCCTGAACAAAAAGTAACAGAAAAACCGGCTTAACTGAGTTCAAGATGGGGCCGGTGGAGGGGGCAGCAGACAAAGAGGAACAGATCAAAGATCAAAGAACCTTGCAGCCTCCTGCTGTGAATTACTTTCTAGGGGGCAGCAGCACACTGCTCTTGGTGGCAGACTAGCTGAGATCCGGGAGTGGGGAATCACAGTCTCTCTTTGCGTGCTTCTCAGACTTCCACTCTGAAATTGAAGGAGTGGGAAGTGAATTTGCTTCCCAGAGGGGGGTGGGGTGGGGTGGGTGTCAGTAAAAATGCCTCAGGGGATGTGAAAAACAGCAAAGCTTAAAAATCTCAGTGGATCAAAAGTGGTCAGATGCATTACACTCAGACACCCCAGTTCTCCTTTGCTTCTTCCACAAAGCTGCTTTTCCCATTAGCACCTACACTGCTTTCTGTAGTCACAGACGCGAATAGCCTTGAGTTTCTATAGGGAAGATCCAAAGCCAACTGCCTACTGGACATTTAGAGGGCTAATGCTATGAAACCAGACACAAAAGCCTTGACACTGTAGTGTTAGTTCTGTGTGGTGAGACAAAAATTTCTGCCTGGCTCTACCTCAATAGAAACTCATGAGAGTCATCCTCTACTGGAAATAGAAAAAGCATCAATGTCACTAGCAATAGTGACTTGGCCAGTTGATATAGTGACTTGAAGCCTATATAAACCCAGAAAATACACATTTAAATGTTTTACTTAATTTCAAATATTTTTCCCATGGATTCCACATCTTGGCCCAAATTCTTACTATTACAGGAGACATGCATGTTCTTTTTATAGCCCATTTGATAATATTAACGGTCACCAATTGATAACTTGCCTTTATTCACATGATAAAAGGCATGTCTTGAAAGCTGTACATTTCTGTATCAGATCCTGGGATTCTGCCATTACCAAGTCTGCTGCTGGACAAAGACCCTGGCGAGCAAGAGCTGAGTCATCACAGTGGAGGTCATCTTTGCTAGGCAAAGATTTGTTCTCAGAGGCACAAACAAGTCCAAGCGAGCTTCATCAGGCTTGGTCCAGAACAACAGACCATCCACCCGAACCATAGGTCTGTAACAATAATAAGGAGCTGCTACCTGTAGGCAACTACTTCAGTTACCGACTGCTGCCCAACAAACCACACTAGAACACAGTAGCCCCAAACCCTTATGATTGACTAATCGGACTGTAGATGAACTAATATGAAAACTCACTTGGCTTCATTCCCTTGGCAGCTTGACAGAGCTGCAAGGTGCTGGGAGGCTTCACTTGAATATCAGATATCTCAGTCCTCCACCATGTAACAGCTTCTGACTTCTCATGTGGCTGAGCTGGGCTTCTCTACCGCAAAACGTTCACACTTCTTCCACGGCGTCCAGTTTCTAAAAGGGAGAAACTAGAAACTGTCCGTATTTTAAGGATAGAACTTGGAAGTTCTATGCTATTTCCACTTCATTCTATTGTCAACTGTGGGTAGTCATCTATCATGGATGCTGTAGCCAGGGAAACAAACACAAACAAGAATCCAGAGGAATGGCAAATGGATGGAAATAGAAAACACTATCCTGAGTGAGGTAAGCCAGACCCAAAAAGAGGAACATGGGATGTTCTCACTCATATTTGGTTTCTAGCCATAAATAAAGGACATTGAGCCTACAATTCGGGTTCTTAGAGAAGCTAAATAAGAAGGAGAACCCAAAGAAAAACATATAGGCATCCTCCTGAATATTAACCTTCATCAGGCGATGAAAGGAGACAGAGACAGAGACCCACATTGGAGCACCGGACTGAAATCTCAAGGTCCAAATCAGGAGCAGAAGGAGAGCGAACATGAGCAAGGAACTCAGGACCGCGAGGGGTGCACCCACACACTGAGACAATGGAGATGCTCTATCGGGAACTCACCAAGGCCAGCTGACCTGGGTCTGAAAAAGCCTGGGTTAAAACCGGTCTCACTGAACATAGCGGACAATGAGGACTACTGAGACATCAAGAACAATGGCAATGGGTCTTTGATCCTACTGCATGTAGTGGCTTTGTGGGAGCCTAGGCAGTTTGGATGCTCACCTTACGAGACCTGGACGGAGGAGGGTTTTCCTCGGACTTCCCACGAGACGGAGAGCCCTGATTGCTCTTTGGGCTGACGAGGGAGGGGGAATGGATTGGGGGAGGGGGAGGGAAAGGGGAGGCAGAGGTGGGGAAGAGACTGAAATATTTAATAAATAAATAAAGAAAAAAAAAGAAAAAAAAAAGAATCCAGAGGAATGCCTGGGATTGTAGCTGTTGACATCGGACAGCAGAACCCTTACCTTTCACAACTTAGAATTGCCTTCTTTTTATGGAAATGTAATTTCTAAATAGACAAAGGGGCTTAAATATTTTGTATAGCTTGGTTTTTCTAATTGTGGAGGGTGACTTTACCCTGAAAACTCCATGGTCTCTAATTTCAAGTTCACTCTTAAGATTAGCTAAGTCTTGAAATCTCATGGCTACTTTCCTCTCTTGTTTAATTGTTCTTTACTCTTTTCCCTTCCTTCTGATAGCTGTCTCTTCCTCCCTCCCCCTCTCCCTCCCTTTTTCTTCCCATCCTTTTCCCCTCCTTGCTTCCTCTGTCTTTTCCCTTTTTTAAAGTTTATATATTGATTCCTGTAGTTGAGAAATTAATTTATGTAATATATTCTGATCATGCTCATCCCCTTCCCCAAATCCTCCCAGGTCCTCCCTACCGACACACCTTCCCAACTCTACCCCTCTCTTTCTCTCTCTGTTAAAAAAAATAAGAAAAAAAAAACAATAAACATGCATGCATGTACACAGAGAGAGAGAGAGAGAGAGAGAGAGAGAGAGAGAGAGAGAAAACTAAAATATACAAACAAAAGGTCAATAAGACAAAAAAGTACCCAGACAAAACAGTATGAGACAAAAATCTACAAAACACCATTTTGTGTCAGCCAACTATTCCCAGACATGGGGCCTAAGTGTGGTTCATATACTCGGTGAGAATTTATTGGATAAAACTTACTTTTCCCTTTGCAAGTGTTATCAATTGCAAACATCTTCTAGGTTAGGGGTAGGAGACGGGGTCCGGTTTGCCACTCTGAGAGCTGGGATCCATCTGGCTAGAACTTGTGCAGGCTCTCTGCCTTTTCCCTTTTTAAATCCTAATCACCCCCTTATCCCCCCTTCCAATTTCCTTTCAAGTTTCAAAACAACATGGAACTAGGAGTCATAAGACCCGTGCCCTGTTTGATTGAAAACTGTCTCCCGTAAGCTTTTAAACACTTGGTACCCCATTGGTACCACTGTTTGGGGAAGTTAAGGAACCATAGGAGGTAAAATATTGCTGGAGGAAGTATGTCATCGAGGGTGGGCTTTGAGGATTTATAGTCTCACCCCACTTCCTGCTCTTTTGCCCCGCTTCCTGTATGTGGACAGAAACTTGCTTAACCAACTTCCTGCTACTACCACCTTGCCTTAGGCCCTGCCTTGCCTTCCCTACCATGAGGACTCTATCCCTCTGGAAACACAAACTGAAATAAAACCATCTTCCATAAGTTGCTCACACTCCTGGTGTCTTATGCCGCAACAGAAAAGTGACTGATGCACGTGACCTTCTCATCCTACCTCTGACCCTGGTGAAGTCAGCATTCTCTTGTTTTCAGACTCCTGGTCTACCTCACCAGGTT